TTTTTTATCGAGTTTGAATTTCAGAATTCGTACAAAGCTGCATGATATTTAATACCCTTTTCGTCTGTACGAAGGTACACGACACGAAAACTTTTACCGTCGATCGAAAAAGTTGTACCTAAGCGAAAACTATCGAGCCATGTTGATGTAGTTTCACAAGGTTTAGGTTAGGTTTAGAAAGAAATTACAAAATTCAAAGATTTGAGTTGTCGAGTGATAAAATGTAACAAATGTAGACGATATATCGTTGGATTAATTAGTTAATTATAAAAATATGTTGATGCTCTATTTGTGTGCAAATACTTCCTCTATGTACGACTGTACATTGTATGTGATTTAAAATTTCATTGTTCAAATGACAAAATTTATGAATAATCACGTAGACAGGTTCATTCTCTCCTCAAAAATCGTAATTAAACTTCTTGATCATATTCCACCTTCTACATTGTTACAACGTACAGTAGAATTATTATCCAAAACGTCGATTATTAGAATTTTGATTATCCGAATACAGCTTAATTATGTGTGTACATATTTAAATTATATATCGAGCAATGTTCATATTCTGCCTCGAATACCCTAGCGCGTCATCTAAGTAAACTGCCTTTCATTTATACCACGATAATACTGTTAAAAGAAAGAGAGTGGTGCTGAAACTGAAAGATATATTTGAATATATTGTTGAACATTTAAAAAGAACGAGTACGATACAATATAATGTTAGAAAATGTACAATTAGCTACGTTGAAAACAGTAGATCACTAGAATTTCAAAACAACTTAGACAACGAGAGAAACTTCCATCTGCACAGAAGACAGCAAATGATGATAATTATAATAAATGATGATGATCGAGCTGCATACGTTGAAAATCTTATATTCACAAGATTTTCATATTTAATTTCAAATTCTTTAATTAGTTGATCTATGATATAAATTGGATTCTTTCACACGGATAATATAATAATCGACGTTCTACTGTACCTAAATTCCAAATCTCCTTCTGCCATATCCAATGGACGTTTCGACGAAAATGGTCGCGCGAACAATTACCTTCGCTATTCCAGCGACGCGAGGAATCCGTTTCATCGTCCCGGGCTGCGACGCGAAATTAAAGGCACGGAGAGAGAGCTGGTGCGATTCCCGTTCACCTACGCGCTCGGAGCCCTGTTACGTAAGCTCGTTGCACGGAGGAGAGGAGACAAATATCATAAGTCAGTGTTACCGCGACGCAAACACGCCGCTAATGGCACGCCGGTGCTGGTGGGTGGCGAAGGGTTTTCGGCGCTGTGCAAACCTCTCGGCGGCGGAACCAAAGACGCCGGAAGACGCAGGACGCGGCTGAGGATTCGCGTGGGAGGACACCGGCGAAAAGAGATCGGCCGAGTCACGGAACGTCGTGCAGCCATACTCATTCGGCAATGTCTCGTTTCATTCGACCTCGACGAAAGATCGAGCTGGCAAGTTTTTACGAGCGTTCTTGCCAGGTCGGATTCCTCTCGATCGTTGATTCGGCTTTGGAATTTACGAGAATCGAGCCGAGAAATCGAATCTTCCCTCGGGTCGTTTGTTATAGGCGAGAAAGGATGGCACGTTTCGATTCTATTCATTTTTCTTTTTTTTTTTTTT